AAAAAAAAAATTTTTTAAAAAAAAAAAAAAAAAATCATGTTGTAGGTTCCAAAGGGGATCGCCCTTCATCAGGAATGATGCTGGAATGGAAAGAATTTTTTTTTTTCGAAACACTAAAGTTATATCTTTGAATACAGCATAAGGTCTGCTCTGGTCGCTAGTTTAGCAGCCTGCTTTTTCTCCAGACCTTCCTTTCCAGGCCAGTATCATCAAGTCCGGATGAAGGGGGCACCCGTTTTTAAATGATTATTGTGACAAATAAACTATAACTGGATTTTCATCAATACCTTGGTTTTCGTCTTGACATTAATACACATTCTTGGAGCCAGAAGGTGCGCATTGCCTTGTGTGAGGTTCAGGGGCTGCTTTGTGGAATGGTTAATAAAAATAACCCCAGCCAAATAAGCACGCCCAAGCAATTTCAGATTTAAGAACGTGGTTCAGGCAGTAAAGGGTTGGAACCTCAACATTGCCTAGGCTGGTTTAAAATTAGTTTAAAATTAGTTGTGGAAACTTTTTAGTACTGTGATCTTTGATCTCTAAAAGTTAACAAGACAGAGCAGCCTATGGGCAGTCTAAGGCGACTGGAGGTATAGATCCCAAGGTTGCGTATGTAGAGTGAAATGTGGAGACTTTGAGACTCACTAGTGCTAAGCCTCACTAAGCCTTATTAACTCACCTTGATACTCCTGAGCTTTGGCAGCCCGTGCTCCTGCAGCACGTCTGTCTTCATCGGATTCACTAATCTTGCCTTCATCTTCTTCTGGACAGCTTTGGAAATAAAAACATGATGGAAAAATAAGGACACAAATTTAAAAATAGGTGCATCATTTTTTAATCAATGAAGGCAGTTATAATAACAATATATAGGTTTTTAACAAAAAACAATCTGTTCTGTTATCTGCCATTTTAGGATAAAGGAAGTCCAGTATTTGCTAGTAAGGGAAAGCAGTAAGTGGGGAATATGTTAATTTATATATTAAACTGCACAACATTTGATTATCTTAGCTTTAATGTTAATTCTTAGTCAGTGGTTACATACAATTGCACAATCTACATGGAGCTTTCAAATATGGATTTAGATTGTCACTGATGAGATTATCTTATAAAAATCCAGATTTTTCTTATTCATAAATGAATTGGTCATCACTGTTTGGTAGTGTGCTTTTGTAGGATGGCTGAATATGTAATCAGCAGACTATAGAAAAAATGCATTACACACTATACAACATTATCTTATTATCTTTAGCTTTAATAAACACTGAAAATGTCTTCATATTATCCATGCATGCTAATACTACTTCAGCTCTACCTTAAGGACTAGAGCAATGTTTGACATTTCTGCTACTGGCTTGTTTATTCTGCTATAACGTAGTCATAACTTAAAGCAGAACTAAACCTGCAAAGTAAAAAAACTGCGAGCAGATACTGTATATATTTGTGGGAGAAGACACTCTTTTGCCATCAAATCTTTCTCCTTGCCTGCTAGCATTTTTTTATGACTTGTACACTGGCAGCCACACATGTGCAGATCAATGTACAATCCTGGCAACTGTAGGAAGACTACTGAACACAGAAGAAAACAGGGAGAAGATGAAAGTGCAGGTGATGGAGCAACAAGGGAGATTGCCGACATTGCAACACTAGAGGGGTGCACTTTAGTGTAGTGGGTTGTGCCACGTTTTTGCTGCGATCCAGGCCGTTTTTGGTAAAAAAAAGTATATATTTTTAAAGTTTAAAATGGGCTTTCAGTGCGTTCCAGAGCAGGTAAAATAGGGCTTGCTGCAGTTTTTTTACATGCTCTGGAACTGAACGCTGCGGTGTGAACTAGAGCCTAAAATACCATTGGAATACATTGGACGCAGTTTTGATCCGGTCTGTAACTGCTCTGCTCTGCTCCTGGAACGCGCTTGGTGTGAACAAGGCCCAAAATGACATTTCTGATACAAAGCATTGGCAAAATAGTTCACAGCCAAATAAAGTCTCTTTTTGTATTTTATTTTTTTATTATAATGCAAACAAAACAAATGCAAATGAAACCAAAGTTTAACCCCTTCGTGACTGACGACGTACAGTGTACGTCGCCAGCATCGGGGCTGTTTAAACAGACTCCCGGCGACAATCATAGAAATAGAAATAATGAGAAAAAAAATCAGCAAAAAGTAACAGTTAAGGGGAGGAGGGTGGAGTTAATTAGGACTGATTAGGGCTAACTAACATTTACATAAAATGTGCTCATATTTAACCCCTTATTAAAGGGTTGTATTTTTTTGCTTTGCTTTTATTTATGTCCTCGGCAGATCAAATGCCATCCCTTTGATCTACACATAAATTAAACATTGTTACAATGTATTTTTCAATGACACTCACATTATTTAAATGCATTATTTTACACAAGACCGATGCAGCCACTTCTCGTTATACAGAACAAGTCCTGACTTTCATTTTGGCAGCTGGGATATGACAGCAATAGCGATTGGGGAGCCTTGGCGGGGGACAAGGTGCATGGTGTAGGCGATACGTCCTAGGATATTTGTTTTTTAGGGCATATTTCCTATGCCCAAAATCCCAAAATGGATCCTTAAATCCCTTTACATGGAACAATGTGTATATTCACTAGCCCTTTAACCAAATTAAAAACATATGTGTATCAACATACTACAGTGAAACTTTTACAACAACAAAAACCCCTTCAATTAAAAAAAATGTGTACTGAAGGTTAGTGTGTCAAGCTGCACCTCTAGCAATCTTCTCCTTTCACTGCTGCTGCCTGCCACTTTTAGGCAATTGTCATACTGACATAATTTAAGAGAAGAGAGGAAATTCAAGTTGATATTTCTGTGTTGATCTCCATGTTACCAGAATTTGTAAATATAAATGTTCTGTAAATTTTACCTTTTTACATTTCATTCAAACACATTACCGTTCTGGATAAAAGATGGCATAAGCAATTTTTAGGACTACAAAGTATATTGGTAAAACCAATGCAGAAAAGTTTTTTTTAAAGTATCACTTGGAAAAAAATGTGTTTAATGTTTAAGTCATGTACTAATCTATTCAGTGTATACAGTACAATTATATTCTTACCTCTGCACAGCTTCATGTATCTGCCTCATCCATGAGTTTCTTTCCTCTTTGGAGTTTGTGTGAATTTCATACATTTCGGGTCCAGCCGAAGATGCACTTATTAGAAACATCCCACGCTCCTCATTGGCTACTTCCCTCACAATCAGTTTTTGCAGAGAAATGACTGGAGGTTTCTGATCCTTTAAACCAATAAATAACCCTTACTTAGTAAGCAATGTAAAAAGTAGGCAGGAGAAAGTGTGATCAGGAATATCTGACAGCTACAAATCTTCTGCACCGTACACAATCATAGATACTAACCTAGAAATAACCTTATCCAACAAAACAGTACTAAGCCTTCAGCATGTGGGGAAGCAAATCTGTGAGGGACGTGGTCACAGAACCAAATAGTACTGGGGGTGTACCATTGCGAAATCAGTAGATTGAAAAAAACAAAGAGCCTCATATCAGGGTGCGGGAAGTGGGACCACAGTTTAAGAACGTATGATGGCAAGGGTACTAGAAGCAAGTGACCCACACATGACCTACAAACGCTGCCCTTTTTGGTACATACCATAAAATTATTTGCTAGAGGGTATATTTACTCACCTGTGAAATAGCAAAACAGGACTCGCCGCCATACCTGCTAATGCACTCAGTGGTAGCAAGCAACGAGGAAGTGAACATAAAAAGAGGGAAGCTAACAGAGATCCTGCCGGGCCCTCAGAGTTGGAGACTACTGCTCTGAAATCCCAGACCTGGGGGGTCAGCCATGCCACTATACAAGTAGACAGTCCACAGTACAGGAAAATACTTTCCCTGGAGTGACCACTGCAATGCAAGAAGAGTGCAGAATCTTTGCAATAATGTACCATATTTAGGTCCTGTGCTTGAACGATGATGGAAAGACAAACTATAAGCAGTTAATTGATAGAAGAATCATCTGAAAACTAGACCCAATTCCAGCAGGGTTGAAAGAAACATCCTCCCTCCTCAGAACACTGATCTAAGCTGGGTTCATTAGTATTTGTGGAAGTATAGTCACCAGTAGCTGGCCCTCTTTCAATTTGCAAAGTGTTCCAACCTCCTGAAGGTAGCAGTATGCCCCCACGTGAATGAATAATTCGCACTGTCTATTGAGATTCAATATATTTTCTGATTTATTATGGCATAGTTAATCTGAAAGTTATTTGTTTTATATTTTTATAACTTTAAATGCTTAGTCCCTTGTTTTCCTGATTTTTTTTTTTTTTTTTACAGATTGCAGGTTTTCCATTTAAAGAATAGGTCAGGGTCAGCACCTCTGCGGCACAAGTGCTGTAAAATCAATCATGGAACCAGCAAATAAGCCACCTAGACTTTAATTTCACTGGAAGTCTACAGAAATCCACAATCACTGTTCTGCAGTATTTACATTTTCTGTATACAGTATACCCTTTGCAATTTCCTGCATCCCTGCATTAATGGCTCCTATATTGTAGACAGAGCTGAATTACAGTCCTACACAAACACAATCTGCATAAAGCTAACATAGAAATGTTTTTTTTTCTTTCACGTCTTCACTGAACACATTTTTTGTGACCAGAGGTCACTGATGCCTAGATGCCCAGGCCAATTTTAGTAGCCTCAGCACTTGCTGGTTAACAATAACCCTGACTAATTTGCATAACTAAATTATTTTTATATATTTTTAATGACATAAAATAATTTCTCTTGGTGCATTGTCACATACCCTGCTCTTCTTTTGTTATAGGCTGAAATACGCAACAAATACGTAAAAACTAAAAAGTAAAATTAGATTTTTTATTTAGGTTACTATTTTTAATACTGCAATTATTTCTGACTGTTACGGTATTAAATAGATGGCACCACAGATGAACATTGCATCCTTAAGGTGGCAGTGTTCATCTGCCGGTTGAAGGCTTTCATTTTTATTAAATGGAGCCTCTAGCCAGCACCTGATCACCATGTCAGAGCTGACATAGAGATCACATGATCAGGAAACATTCTGATTAGTTTTTGATCGTCCATAGAGACCCCAGCTCTCACTGAGTGGCGGGACTGAGAGAAAGCAGCCATGTGAAGTGTTAGCACCTGACTCTCAAAGGGTAGGATGTTTTTTACCATATTACAAACAAGTTAATAGATTGTTGGCAGGAAGGCGTTAAACATTCACTACCTAGTATAGAATTATTATGTGAACCTCTGCATATACTGGAATACTGGAATAACTTCCTTTAGCAGCTGAAGCTTCCACCAAACATTTCCTGTAGCTGCTGATCAGACTTGTAGAACAGCTCAGAAGAAATTTACATCATACAATACATAACTGTTTAGATTGACCGATCATTTTTGGATTCTTTGCATGGACAGCACTTTTCAGGTCCATGTCACAAAACCTTGGTTGGGTTAAAGTCTGGACTTTGGAAAGGAGATATATTTGCTTTAAACAGATAAAAGTTTGCATTTCGAACAGCTGAATAGAAAAATATAAGCTGCTCATGAGGTAAATTAAACTAAGAAGTCCGATTGGCTCCAGGACAATTCAAACATATCTAAAGCCAACACACTTCAATTTCATTTTGAACTTGGTAAAGAAAGGTTAGAAGCTCTGTCAAAGTTCTATTAACTTTGGTTACGTTTTATTCTTACTGGAGTTCTTCTTTAAACCAAGAGTGCAGGAGCAGTCAATGGGATACCAGGTGTACGAGACATGTAGAGCAGGGACATGCGGTCAGGTGAGGCAGAGCCTCACCTAGTATTATGGAGGAAAAAGCAGTCAGCTTCAAGTCTGATGCTGACAGCTTTTTCTTCATTCAGATCGACTTGTAACAGGTTACACAGCAGGGAAATCCTCCCCGCTGTGTAACCTGTCATAAACAGAGCGCTGCCGGTTACAGGCTGCACTGCATTCGGCTTTTGACAGGTATATAGGTTACACAGCAGCGGGCTTCCCCACTGCTTGTGTAACCTAACTATAGTGAGGTAAGAGCTGCCACAGCCTCTACCCTGTTAGAGACGTGAGCTCTGTGGATGGTTTGAACCAATGGCAAAGCACCATTGGTCCAAGCTGTCCAATCAAAAAAACAAAAAACCCGTTGATGTCGATGCCACAGCAGTGATGAGCAAGTGAGGGGTGGTATATGGCTTTGATGGTATATGGGCAGGGTTTCGAATTGCTGGGGGCAGGGCTTTCGGCATGCTGGGGGCGGGGCTGGTGAATGCCTCAGCAAGAAGCGAAGGTACCGCACGTCACTGATATAGAGGCAGATGTATCTACATGAGAATGTTAAGTAGCAAGGAAGATTAAGGACAATATTCTATCCAGAATACTCTCCCACACCTTTCTTTAACATCTAACCTGCCAATCTGAGTCGGCAACAAAATCAGTAAAACAAGACCTAAATGTTTACAGAAAAGTAAGAACATCAGAACAGTGCTAAACAAATCATAATGGGCCGCTACTGAGAGCTGGTTATAAGAAGTATTCATCGCATTTTTCCTTTGAAAAGAAAAACTGAAAACCTGATTAAACAGGAGACAAAATTCTTAGAGTCAGCAAGTCTGGAAACAGAAGAGTGTTTTCAGCTGCCAATAAACCTCTTCACTTATTGGCTCTAACTTTTTTTCATCACTACAGTTTATTAAATCATTTTTTTCCAAGATACATGAGCTATAAACTTACCACAGCAGCAAATATATACTTTTGGTCTTTTTCTTGAAGAAACAGCAACACATCTGTTAAAAGCAGAGCTTGGATATCTAAAATGGAGAAAAATAAGCTTAAGTTTTGAAACTTTTTTTCTAAATAAATATTTATAGAGAGTCGGCATTAAGACATGTGAAGCCAAGCATTGACTTGTAATTTTTCTGTTCCAGAATGAAACTCTCCCAGGAAAAACAGCACAGCCATTTACAATGCAGGTTAAGATCTCACAGCCAAGATGGTGTCTGTGGAACATAATCCAGCGTAGCCCATTTCTTTCAGTCCTGCATTGGCTGCAAGCGTTTCAGTCCAGAGCACAAAGACTGAAAGACATTAAGCTCCCAACAATACGTTATTATGTGAATTTTCGGCATGTAAATAGGAGTTTGGTAGTTTAATTTGCCAAATGTTTTATGATACCCCCCACTAGCCCTCCCACATTTTGGAATGAACAGAAACAGCCCTTTTCTCTCAATGTATATGCGCTTGGCTGAATTTGACATAAAACCACACAAGTAGTAACATGGAGACTTCTGGGTCTTATGGTTACATTTAATTCCTGAAACTAAGGGCAAGGACTCTTTTGTGGGAGTTTGACTATATAACACAAATCTGGCAATTAATTTACAAGCTGACATTAACATTTCCTGGAAAAAATAACTGTGCTTTTGTCCATGTATAGGGAAGAGAGACTTAACAGTAGACATTTCTTGAGGTACAGAACCACTAGAAATCTCCTATCATACTGTCGGAATATGATTTCTTGCTGCCAAAATCCTTGGATAATTGGGCAAGGCTAGATTAGGTATAAGGACCCCAGTGTTTTATTTCACTTGGGGTAACAAGGTAAGGGAGAGGGCAACCAAATACCAATGGTATTGAGAGGAGTCTGTTCTGTGTAAAGTATACAGCTGAGTTGGTTTATCTGAATATTTGAGTGAGCTTATTTTATGCAATTCCAGCCCTTGATTCTACTATGCAATATTAAAAGGTCCGCCTCTCTTTCCCAACTGGGCTTTGTTAAATAAACAAGCTTAGCAGCCCAGCACTGTCCTACAGAGGTACGATATAAGTATTTTAGAGGAGAGGAACATAGTATATATATATACTATGCCTATGTATATACATACATAGGCAGAAATTTTGGTGAAGGTGGGTCTTGACTGTTTGGAAGTTGCTCAGAAAACTAAAAATGTATTATTAGGAAGGATAAATGATTCTATTAGCTGTTGACATTATTTAAATTCTGAACTGTTCACAATTTGTTCCAAATAGAGAATGACTGGTAAGTACCAGATTTCATCATTCGGGTTTGCAGAAAAGTACAATAGCTGGGTGTTTTTGTAATTTTGTAAGTAATTTACCTGTAGGTATATTAGGGAATGCTATGGAGTATATTACACCTTTTAAAGGATAATCTTTTTACCTTAACACAGTAACCATTTCCTCCTGCAACATTGTTTTTACTGTTGCTATGTTCTGTACAGTAAAGTGATTCATTGGGAAAAATAGTTCTATACGAACACATTTTTATGATTATTACTGTAAAAGTGAATACCTTTAAATCTCCCTGTAGCAGTTTTCCATAGGAGGACACCATCATGCAGCAGCACTCGATCTTTTGTCTTTAGGTCTTGCTTTGTAAAGACATGTCCATTCTTCATCTTGGTGAATGTCTTGTTTTCAATCTTGTTTACGAACTCTTCAAGTCTTTGTTTTCTCTCAAATTCATTGACTTTTGAGTCCACTGCAGCAATCATGTCCTTGATTAAGCACAGAGCCCTACAAAGATCTTTGTGCTCATCATTGCCCTCTAAAAACAAGATATGAGAAGTGTTAAGGGGGTTTTGCAAGAAACAGGTAGGCAGTATCCACTTTCCCACTAAGTAAACGGTTAAGGGACTTATAGCCCTAAACTTATTTTCTTCCACAGGAGAGTGAAGAATTATGAGAAGGCTGGTTCACGAGAAGTCATTTGTATATGTGCCGTTTGGCAGTGCCCAGCTCCCCATACCCATTGTTTGACGATTAGCCTTGAAAATAGAAAGAACTGACTTTCAAGGTTTGCCCCATTGACTTAAATGGGGTTTGGATTAAAGTTGGCAATTTAAGATCTGTTTCATAATAGCTCCAGGAATCAAACCCACGTACATTCACGCATCGCTGGTAGAGAACATGCAGCATGCAGTGCTAATAAGCAGGAAGTACAGCTTGTGTATAGAATGTGCAAACACAGCCTGCCCCAGACAAGTACATAGAGACTAGGGATGAGCTCAGATTTGGAACCTGGTCCGAACCTGAGCTCCTCCAAACCTCAGAAAGACATGGGGCCATCCACCCAATCAGGGCATTCCCCATCTCGAAGCTGCCAATAAACAAAGGGGCGGAATGTTTGTGCTGACCATGTGGCTATATAAGGTCAATTACATCACAACATCCTGCCCCTTTGCTAACGTGCAGCTGCAGATGGGGAATTCCCTGGCTGCAGCTGACTGGGCAGAAGGGGCTTTCTTCCCGGTTCAGAGGAATAGAGATCAGGTTTTGCAAATCTTAGCAAACACTGATAAGGATATTTACATTTTTATATACAAGTGACAGTTAATAACCTGGAGATTTCACACTAACCTGGAGTATAACGCAATATCCTCTCCACAAGAACCGGATATTTGGTGATACGCTGTGTTACTAGGAGGATACATTCAGGGATACCTCGACGACGAGCTTGCAGATTGCCGTTTGTCACCTTTAAAAAACAAGACAATTTTACAGAAGCCTTTAGATCAAGTCTGAATTACCTTTACCAACCATACATTTTAGAACTACAAGCCTCAGCATGTCCTCTGAAATTTGTCTTTCTTTCAGCACAGTCTGCCCATTGCTTTAGCCAAAGCTATATCTGGACGTTTTGGGTTAACTAAACTATATATACCCTGATCAAATTAGATTTGGTTCATGTTTGTACATTATAAAAATACTCTATGAGAACAGGCGCCTTGGTCAAACACATTCACTATAGAGGCAGTGAAAGTAGTGACAGGATTTCCATATAAATAATATTATGTCACATTGCAGCAGAGCTTTCCAACTAGCTTTATTTGGTCAGGGAAAGCATTAATGTTTATTCACATTCTTGGCTAACTTTTTAAAGATGCAAGCATTAGGGATTCCTTAGATCCCATCATCAGGCTTTATGAAGGGATGCAAGGAATCACGAAAGCTTGCATCTTTAATAACTTAAGTTAACCAATAAAGGTTATCACTTAAACGTCAAACTTTCTGCAAAAAACGATGGACAACATGGTACAAGACTCTACTACAGTTTATTCACATAAAAGGCCACAGGGAGGCAGTGCAGTATCAGAATGAGCTTACAAGCTTACAATTTCCACTGGTGAGCCATATAGAGAACTATTAGATGCTGCTGTATAGGAAAGTGTGATCGGACCTTTACTGGTCTCTGTGTGCAAACTTAACCAAAATACAGTTTGTATTATTAAAAATGAATCCTTTTTTTACTACTTAATACTTTTGCCTAAGCGCCCATGCCACCTGCTTTTGGAGGTGCAGCGGTTTTCCCCCACTCCTATACAGCCAGATCGGTTGTTTGAAATAAGCTGGCAAAAAGCACTGAGACTACTACTGAGCGCAAACTGCTCAGCTTTTTCTTGTATATCGCGCGCCAGCCTCAGAAACCCATTTGCTTTCCAAGACTGGGCTGCGTTGCAGCGGAAAAAGTACTAAGAACTGAGCATACTAGGCCAAGTCTAGATACTCTCCAGATGCTCCATGATTTATACATAGAACTGCTAAATAAGAGAGCTATATTTATAAAATGCATATTAGTCTTCAGGCAGGCTGAGTGCAGACAGAATTATTATTTATTCACTCTCGCCGCTTTACAAGGAATTAGAACTTGGCTCATTTAATGGTATAATTTGTGTTAATTTATTATCCTCATGTTTAACACTTACATCATTATCCTGCAAAAACTGGAAGAAACATTTTCTGCTCAGATGCTTTTGTTCATTTTCTAAGCTGCAGAGGAGAAATTACACTTGACGTGTGATTGGCTGCTAAGGGCAACACCTTCACTTTTCATCCCCACAGCTTTAAAGAAGAACATTTTACTAATACATAACTCTGTGCTTTTACTGTGCCTGGAAATGTAACAAATACTGTTAACAGTTCTACAGTCATGAATTTCATAGGGGCCCAGAGACATGAACCATTTAAGGCCCCAGTCACACTTAACACAATGCAGGAAAAACATGTGATGTGCTTGCGTCACCGGTACTTGTTAAATGACACCCCAAAAGGGCATCTTTGCCCACACGTTGACACCCAACAAAATGAGCAGAATCGCTTGATCGAAAACACATGAAGTTTGCAGCTCAAAGCGCTGAATGGGCTTCTTTGCTGCATCTGTTGTGCTTAGAGCAGCCCATTGAAATGAATAGGCTGACGTCGGGCAAAACGCGCATAAACCCATCGAGCATTCACGCATGCCACAAGTGTGAACGGGGCCTAACAGTGACCTTAAAAAGACCTCTCTGTTGCCTGAAATAAAGTGTATCTACAGCTGAATCTTTGAAAACGTTTTGAACAGATTGGAGAAGGATTAGAACATCTGTCATTTTTTAGTGCTGTCTGGGGACCAGTTAAGAGAGATTTCTCCTCATATCCTGGCCCAGGGACAACCTTTTCATAGTCAAGAAGTGAAGAAAACTCTCTAACAGCAACACAGACAGGGGTTCTAGCCTTTTACTTAATTTAAAATAAACATAATTACTTCTGTCAGCTTTTTTTTTTATTGGTGTTTGTTTCCCTAGTGCAGATTTCCCCCTCACTTCCTGTCTAGGAAACATTCTCAAAACAGCAAATGAGTGAAAATCTCTAAAACGGATCCTCGAATAGAAGTCAAATCTTACAGGGGTTTTATCTCCATCCCCACTCTATCCAAAACTAAAAAAAAAGGTTTTGGCTATAGATTCATTTTATGTTAGGCACCCCTGCTTTTTATAAGCATTACGACACATTCTAAAGGTCACTGTATAAGTGTGTCTGTTTTTTTTCATCTCTATATAGTCGTTAAATGGGTGATAAAGCAAACACAAACTATTCTTTAAACTGCATTCACAGACATGAATGCACATATTTAATTTGGATCATTCATGAAAATTCAGTAAGGGCGATTGTCTCCCCTCACTCAGATAACATAAACTGAACATACACGTTGCAATAAAGTAGTATGATATACACTGAGTGGCCAGATTATTATGACCACCTGACGTTTGTAGGCCAATTAGCTATAATTAGCTATAATTTCATGCTGAAGTTGCTAGAGGGCCAGACTATTATAAAAAATCCAATCTGCGAAATTTCCTTGCTACTAAATATTCCACGGTCAACTGTTAGTGGTATTATAACACAGTGAAAGCAACTGGGAACAACTGCAACTCAGCCACGAAGTGGTAGACCACGTGAAATGACAGAGCGGGTTCAGCGCATGCTGAAGTGCATAGTGCGCAGAAGTCGCCAACTGTCTGCAGAGTCAATAGCTACAGACCTCAAAACTTCGTGTGGCCTTTAGATTGGCACAACAACAGTGCGTAGAGAACTTCATGGAATGGGTTTCCATGGCCGAGCAGCTGCATCTAAGCCAATTGGATACAAATTAAAATTAAGTTTCTGTAGAACCTCCCATTACATAGTTTTGGTAAGTCTACAGGATGTGGTACAGAAAATGTACAAATCGTACTATGTAAAGGCAAGCTTAACTTTAAGTGTCATGGAAGATATCAGTAGATATGGCTCTCAGTAAGCCTTACAATAAAAAGGACACTTACTTTTATAAAGTTCTGAAATTTTTTATTGTGTTGTAGTTCCTTAAACAAGTTCACAGCTTCAATGTGGTGACTGCAGAATTCGCCATAAATATGCTTCATTTTTTCTGCATTCTCAGCTGAAAACTGGTAAAAATAATAAGTAGTAAACAATTAAAGAAACGTAATTAATATTTCATAATCAGAGGAAACAACACTCTAGGTAGGCTGAGAAAGTAAAAGTAATGATGGGTTTCCTCATAAATTGCAGGAAGCTGTTAAAATCACATGAAACTATTCCTGATTGTACAGTACAGAAATGTCTTGTAGGAGGCCACAGTCCTACCCAAAGCACATGATGTAGCTTGCATAATTTTGCTGCAATGCATTATATACAACTAGGAGAGATACACTGAGTAAACTTTCTTTCTATAGGACAGTTGCACTGCACACCTGACTGAGGCACCCCTTATATGGCAGGTGCTGAAGTGACTCTACGGATGGTGCCACATAAATCCAAGAAGTAGAATACGTCACCAGCACACCAAGAATCTTCATCCAATAAGGCCTTTATTAACGTTCAGAGTGTCAAGCAAATAAGGGATGTCTTATAT